CCCCCCCACCCCCCCACCCCCAAACACACACACATACCAAAAAAAAAAAAAAACAATTAAAAGGTTCTCATCCAGTCTAATAAATTTGAAGATCTCTCACTTTTTTGGATAAGGTAAATTCAAAAATCTCATCACTTTCCCAATACCAGCCTTCAACAAAATACGAACCAACCTGGACAACCAAGTCAGTGAGAAGCCTTATGGGTCAGCTTGTGGAGATCAATCAGAAACTTATGGCCAAAAATGTTCAACAAATCAAAGTTCAAGGTTGGAAATGGAAGTAAAATATCACTGTGGAATGATAATCGGCTAGGACAAGGAACCTAGATGGGACTTTTCCCTGACATCCATGATTTGAATCAGCAACAATAAGCAACTTTAGAAGAGGTATGGACAGATCAGGGATGGAACCTCACTTTCAGAAGAATGTTAGAATGTTAAATGATTGGGAGATTGACGGAGTAATCGAATTCTATAGGACCTTGGAACAGTTCAGTGGCATCAATGCTAGTCAGGACCTTATCACATGGCTAGTGAATGGACAGGTGAAGTTCTCAGTTAAGAGTGCTTACAAGGAATACAACTTAGCCAACAATCAGATTGGTTGCTGGCCATGGAAGATGACATGGAAAGTAAAAATTCTATACAAGGTTGCTTGCTTTACATGGTTATTGGCAAAAGAAGCAGTATTAACACAAGACAACCTAACAAAAAGAGGATTCCAGCTGTGTTCTAAGTGTTACTTATGTGGAGAGAAGGCAGAGACAATTAGCCATCTCTTTTTGCATTGCAATTTCACTATATTGATATGGAGGATTTTCATCGGTCTAAGGGGAATTCCATGGGCAATACCGGGAAGAATCCTTGATATTCTAGCTAGCTGGAATAAAGAGGGTGCACTTTCGAGAAACAAAGAGAGATGGAGAATTGTCCCAGCTTGTATATGGTGGACAGTCTGGGAAGAGAGAAACCAAAGATGCTCTGAAGAAAAGTTCAGCAACATCCAGAAGATAAAGATGAAATGTTTAGCTCTTTTTTATTTTTGGTGTAAAGGAAAACTTTTGGAGGATCATGAATCCATTTTAGATACCCTAGATTCATTGTAAGAAGAACAAGGGTGAAAAGTGTCCTTTTTGTGTAGTTTTGTATGGCCACTTACATTGTAACTATGGGTGACTTCACAATTTTAGTGAAGTCTTTATATTAATATACAAATATGTTACCTTCTCAAAAAAAAAAAATACGAACCAACCGTATGTTGGTTCCACATCGATGGGCGGAATGGTGATTTGATTCCTTATATGGTCTTGGCAAATCCTCACCTCTTGAGCTAGCTTTTGGGGTTGAGTTAGGCCCAAGGTCCATCTCTTTATCATGGTATGGCCCACCCAACTCTTATTTTACCTAATGTATGTCCAGTCCTGGGGTGCGGGAGGGGTGTTGAGCCCCACATGGATGGCTGAAATGGTAATTTGTTTCCTTATATGGTCTAGGGCAATCTTCATCTCTTGAGCTAGCTTTTGGGATTGAGTTAGGCGTTAGGCCCAAAGTCCATTCCTTTATCAGGTCAATAAATATTAGATGGTATTAAATATTATCTAGTGGCCATGTAAACTTCCATTCTCTTATTATAGAAAGAGCCTAACTTAGAAGATCGCACAGAAAGTAACAAAGCAATTATTTCAACTTGCATCAATGAACTGGACAATTTTATTGTTCAGTAAATGCTATGTGACGTAGTAGCAGTACTTTAGAGCATACAGTTTTTAATCTACAGCACTGCAAATTTTTCTCATATTAAAAATCTCCTTTCCCCTCACAAATTTATAAAAGAATTGCCGGCAAAACAGCGCCATTTAGTATATTAACTTATCAGAGAAAAACTTGCCTCGGGAGTTGACAACAGCTCCAGGTCATTCCCATTCAACCTTGGAAGCAATAAAACAAAATAGATCATCCAATATTGCCCATCAGATAATTCATGGCAAACCTTCTGCCTCATGGAATCAAGACCAGGCACAAACTGCTCAATAGACGCCACATGTTCTTTCTGACTATCAGACATGGTAAAATCTGCAACAAAAATTCATAAAGATCAACCAGAGGACACTAGAAATATGAAGAATATTTGTACAAACAAGGATTCTGTCAAGGAACTACTCCTTTTGATTGACATATAAAGTATGCAAGCATCCAGAAGTGGTCGAAACTCGGAAAAGAACTAGAACGGAAATTCACTGCTTATTATTTTTGAGAATAATAAATATATATTCACTGCTTATTATTCTAGTTACATTCTCTACATTTTCTTAGAAAAACTTCTACATTAATAAAGTCTTCTTTAGCATAGAGCAACATAGAATTGTCCCACATCATATTAATATACAGTATGTTACACCTAAAGCAACTCTTGGTGACAATGAAATGCTATAGTATACCAAATACCCAACTCTTGGTGCCCGTAAATATTTTTTCTCGGTCATCTATCAATCTTTATGAGATTTAACAACAGTTACGCCTCAGCCCCAAACAAGTTGGGGTCGAAATATGAATCCTCGTTCTTTTCATTTAGCTCAACTCATATCATCATCATTACCAAAATAAAATAAGAGTGCAAGTAAACTCTATGAGATTAAGAGAACACTTTTTTTAATAAGGTAAAATTTTTATTACTGAAAGTACCAAGAAGGTGCGTAAAAGAACAAAAAACCACACAGCCCCTACAATAGTTTGAAGTTACATAATTTCCAAGTGAATCCAAGAAATCCAAATACTGATCCATATTCCCAAGCAAACTCCTCTCACACCAAAAAAATAGATTATGTCAAAAAAGGTTCTTGACTCCAGAAATATGATTCTTTTTCTTCCCAAAGCAAGCACTATTGCTCTCACTCCAAATAGTCCAGAAAATATACAAAGGGATGGCCATCCAAAATTGTTTCTGGATCCTTGCTATCTTCTGCCTTTTCCAGCTTTCCAGTAGGCACCTGACATCTGAAGGCATCACCCAAGCTACACCATACAGATTTTGAAAGAGCTCCCAGCATGGCTTTGCAACTTTACAATGAACAAACAGGTGATTGACTGATTCCAGTTCATCTTCACAAAAATAACATCTATTACTTAACATGAAACCTCTCCTCTGCAAATTATCTTGGGTTAAGCATGCTTCTCAGATGACAACCCACCCAATACAGGACACCTTGACAGGTGCTTTGAACTTCCATAAGAATTTTTTTATATTTTAGAAGTAAAGTCTTCTATTCATCTGGTACCAAGATGGTACTGAAACAGATACAAAAAGATAGCAACACTTCCACCAGTCATATTACATATTCCCCCTAATAAATATAAAAAGTCCAAATATTGATCTATCCTATCAAGAGTACTGCTATAACGCCAAAAATATAAATTCTTTATACACTTATTTTTGACTCTAGCAATCTACAACTCTTCCCCAATGCTTTATTTCTTTCCAGCCAAAGAGTCCACATTATGCAATTAAGAATAGTCCTCCATATCTGCTTCAAATTTCTTCTTACTCTTTGAGATTGCCAACTTTGCAACAGGCCCTTGATCTTCTGTGGTAAGACCATAGATACACCCATAATGTTAAGGAATAGTTCCCATCATTGTCTGGAGTACCTGCAATCCAGAAATAAATGCTCTACTGTTTCCTCCTCATTGTTACAAAAAAAAGCATTTGCTACACAATAGGAAACCTCTCCTCTGCAAATTGCTGAGTTAAACAAGCCTCCCTAGTTGCTATCCAACCAAAACACGCTGCTTTCACAGGTGCCTTGGTTTTCCAAATCACCTTCCAAGGCCAACTAGAAGTCCCAAGACTATTCTGCTGTAAAAGCATTTTATAGCAATTATTAACTGTGAAAAGCTTGTCCCTACTATTTGACCAAACTAAATTGTCTATTTTGTCCATAGCAATTTGAACCTCCATAACATTTTCCATGACCAATTTGGCTCAAAATACTTTGATTGTTTTTGCAAAATGCTATAACAGCTCTAAAGAAAGTATTTAATATCTTTACTTCTTGTCCATATCATAACACTCCTTCCTTTTTATCTTTCCTGAGTCGAGGGTCTACTAGAAACAGCCTCTCTGCCTTCTCAAAGATAGGGGTAAGGTCTACGTACACACTACGCTCCCCAGACCCCACTTGTGGGATTACACTGGGTTTGTTGTTGTTGTTGTTGATGTTGTCCATACCATAACATCCTCTTTATCTTCCTCTGCCACTGTTTCACCCAATAGTTGTAGTAATTTCCCAACATCCTCCACCTCCCTATCATGGAAATCACTTCTAAAATTCAATTGACACTCACCAGAGTGAAATTTAGAAATACAACCTTCACTATTAAAGGAGTAATTGTACAAAGTTGGGATCCATAACCGATTTGGTCAGGTACTCAAAGTATATCCTATGATTGAGATCTATATATTGATTGGGTATTGGTTTGATTTTTAGGTTTTTTTTTTTTTTTTTGGGGGGGGGGGTGGGGGGTATATAGTATGAAAATGCTTTTCTATTACGCGAGATATCTTATGAGTAGAATATTGGTGTTCAGAAAGAAATAAATTCTATTAATTTTAGTTCAATAACTTTAACTAATCGAAATATCTACTTTATATGTCGTAATATACATTATTTGGCCGTATCCCAACACTCATATCTACACTCGGATCCATACTACCGAATCCTAAAGTTTATGTAATGAAGAATCCGACCTCTAGATCCACACCCGTACCGAATACCCGCACCCGAGCAACATAGATACAGCTCATTAATGATTCTGGAAAAACCCCTCATAGCTCTTGTATTTTTAGAATTACCTTTCTTCTCGTCCTCAAATCTAATACTTAAATATCCCCACTAATTACCCAAGGCTGTGAGGTCAAACCATATATTGCAGCCAACTCCTTCCACAATCCTATTCTCAACTTCCTGTCACAAGGTGCATAAATCCCTGTGAATGTACATTGAAAGCCAGAATTTTCCTCTCCTTTAGAAACATAGTTACTAAGTGTTATCCCACATATTTGTCCCTGCAACTGCATCTCCTTATATCCCAGTACACTACTATTCCCCCACTACTACCTTGAGCAACTCCACCCGTTCACTCCACCTAGACCCCTGAACTTGCATTTTTTTTTTGACTCGTCCCATTTATTTTTGTTTCAGAGAAACAAACAAGGTTTGCACTCCATCTCCTTAAAAGAAAATATATCTGTCTTCTTTTACCGCTATCATTCATACCCCTTACATTTTTTGTCTGAATCATTTAATATATGCCTCAATCCAAATCATTTGGTGTTGGTTATATGATCTATATTAAATCTACTCTATTCAGGTCTATTTATTAACTCCAATCTTAGCGGGAATGTTTACCCAGCGAGCTGCTGGATTAGTCGAGTTGCAGGCAGCTGGCGCAGAAACAATGTTTACGCAAAAAGCACACAAACTCCTTTAACAAGCGGTAATGGAGTGGACTAGTTGTTAGAGAATATACTTGTCCTTCATCAGTTATGTAAGGGGTTTATAATATCCTGGACCACTCCACCCATTACCTTAATTTTTTGGGTTGGACGCACTTATATTATAAACTAGTGACACACTCAGCAAAGAATAGTGTAATGAATTTCTTACACCATCTGTGCAATTTAACCTGCTATTCACTTGCCATTTATTCTAGGTTATCAATCAACAATATTAAATAGAGTTGCTTATTTTAAAAAGATCACCACTCAAAGAAACTAAACAAGTAATAATACTCTAAAACATAATCAGTGAACTAGAGCAAAATATTATTTAGGAGTTACCAGTGGGTAAAGATAGTGGAAAATCGGTCCACAACTGAGGCCGCTGTGAGATTGTGCTAACAAACTCCACTACTTCATCCGTAATGCCCACAATTTCCTCTTCGTAATCATCATCATCGTCGTCGTCGTCGCGATCTTCATCTTCAGTTTCACGATCATTCGCCGACTCATCACTAAACTGTAAAAAATTAGAAGCTAACTTTGAAATCTCTGAAACAGCTTTGTTCGAAGAGAACAAAGAGAGTCCTGATTTAAAGCTATCTCCAATTTCAACTAAGTCGTTTTTAATTCCGCTGAATTTTTCAGAAGACGGAACTTGCTCCGACGACTGAGTTGGTGATGGCGGAGCGAGAAAAGAAGCGACGCCGCGGAGGTGGTGGGAGAAAGTTTGGGAAATTGCTGAAAAATCTTCCTTTATGCTGGAGGAATTAGGATCGGACATTTTCTCACCCTCCGACGACGAGGGTTTTTCGCCGCCGGCATCGTCGTCGTCGTCGGATTTGAAAGGATTGGGAAGAGGAAGAGAGAACCAAGATGACATTTTTTTTTTCCCTCTTTCTTCAATCTTCTCTTTCTCTCTCTTATTATTATTTCCTTTTTCCTCCTTTAATTTTTACTTTTTACTAAATTTTCTTTTTTTCTTTTTTTCTTTTTCATCCCCTATCCCGTTGCTGAGAGTCAGTCGAACTCAAGAGCTACGCTAACTAAGCGAGCGTTATGCTTAATTGAGCTACCACAGCTTGTTACTCTCTCGTTAAAATTTAAAATAATTAATTTTTTATTTTATTAATTTGCTATAATATATAAATATAGCTACAGATGGTAAATTTATTATAAATATAGCTATAGATAATAAATACAATATAAATATTTGATGTATTGCGTAATTTTATCTTTATGTTCTCTTGCCCAAAAAGTTTTACTTTGGGAGTAAAGCTCGAGAACACACAAAGCTTAATACCGAGACTTCTAGTAAACAATAAAAATGCATTTGTTACTCTATCATAACCTTTGATGGTTACTAACTTTTTTTTTTTGGTTATTTAAAGATGACACAAATAACAACCTAATTTCAATATTAAAAAAAGTTAGTGTTGGCTATATAATTTTCACTCACTATGATTCTCTATTTTAACTCATCTTAAACTAATGTTATGCATAATAAAACCAAAAAAAGTAATAGAAGTTATATAATTTTTTTTTAGCATAAAAATCTTTAATAAAGTTTTCTTTAAATCATTAAATTAGCTAGTTTTTCACTTTACCAGTATTATAATCCTCTTCTTTTATGCGCTTTCGAACTACAACAATGTGAACAAGATCATATAAGTGGCGCTTGAAGGAAGACAAACGAAAAGCAAATTATTCATACGAGTGTGACCAACTAATTACAATTAAACATAAAAATTTAGTTATTTTTGTACATTTACATTCCTCCAAGTCTATTGTTTAACAAGATTTTCTTATTTGGTTAGAGATCACATAGTAGAGGGATTAGTGTTAAGCGGGTGTTTGACAGTAATTTATTTTCCACGCTAAATTAGGTAATTATTTGTTAATAGAGCAATGATTTAAGAATCATTACTCAAGAGTAAAACTATTTGTCAAAAAACTACTATAAAACAAAAAGGCACCCGGTCGGACCACAAAGGTCTACGCAGCCTTACTCTACATTTCTATAAGATGTTATTTTCACGACTCGAATCCGTGACCTCCTGGTCACATGACAACAACTTTACCACTTATCAGTTACGTCAAGGTTCCCCTTTTCAAGAATAAAATTACTAAATATCTCAATATATAAATTATTCAAATGAAGCAGAAATTTTTAGATTCATATACTCAATTAAATTAATGTGAGATATGAATATTGGTTTGTGATAAATAATGAAAAATGCATGTTTTTGAGTATATTTGCATATTATTTCTTATGTGAGTTGTGGTGGATTACATGTTTATAAACACATAGTATGCTCATTACATGTTTATTGTGTAGGAATGAATTTGGATGAAAGTTGGCAAGAATTAGATGATTTGATGCAAAAAGAGTAGAGATGCAAGACCTGGAAGCGTGCCACAATTGGTGCATTGCATGAAGGTAGGCGCGAAATGGCCTAGGAGATGAACAAAAAACAGCGAAGTATAGAGGTTGGCACAGGACCTGGCACGCGAAAGAACAAAGAAGAAAAAAAGAAAAAAAAACTGGGAGCGTGCCAGAAGTCGCGCGTTGCACTAACTCTGGCATGCGACTCAGCATGTCCTTTTCGAATTAAGAGAGATCAAGGACGCCCCACATCAACCCTAATTGATATAAATACATCATAAAACGTCCTTTTGAAGGGGGAGATACTACTTTACGGTAAGACAACACCCAAGGAGGCAAGAATACGCTAGGAGCAAGAAGGAAGATTCAACCACGAGTTTTTCCTTTCTTCTTCCTATTTTTCATTGTTGGTTATGAATTTTAGTATTGTAGTTTTATATACTATTATGAGTAGCTAATTTTTAATCTAGAGTTTTGGTAGAACCTCTTGGAGGATGAATTCTTGTTATGTTTTAATATAATTTAACCTTTGATTTTATCTACTTGTTCAACTACGTGCTTATTTTAGTTGATTGAATGACCATCGATTGACTGTGCCTATTTAATATGTATTGCATGAGAAAGGATATATATTTAGGTGGTTGTTGAACAACGTTACTCCTAAAGTATATGAGAGATCAATACGGCAGGTTTAAAAGCGGGATTAGAAATAACGAAGCTTTGACGTGATCCTAGTGAGCAGTGAAAAAGTGCGAGCTAGCGTAGTTCGAGAGAATATGACTAGTACATTATTGTAGTTGCTCGAGAGAGAGAATTACGATAAGTCGAGTACTCATGATCAGTATAGAATACTTAGGCGAAATTATAGGAGACGTAGCAGGAAGGATTCCGACAATTGGAGAAATCATAACTCTAGGCCTCCTTAATCTTGTCCCCAACCCTTAGTATCTTTAGTTTTTAATTTAGTACTTTAATTTGTTAGATATAAGAATCTTAATATTTATAACTTAGGAATTTATTTGAGCTTGTCTTCTTTGTGATATTGAACGGTTATAGCGAAACCTTAGTTCTCTGTGTGATTCGACTCCGATCTTTTAGACCAGATTATATTTGCATCGACCGCTTATACTTTTTAGGACTACAGTTGGGCGTGATCAAATTTTAGCGCCGTTGCCGTGGAACTAACGGTGTAGCTGTAAATGTACATATTGCTAGGTTTCAAGTTTGAACTTTTATTTTTATTTTTTGTATTTGATTTTTTTTTAATTTTTGTTTTACTTGTTAATTTTAAAAATATGGCATCTTGGAATTATGAGAGTTTTGATGTTGGTAATTCTCCTTTTAATCCTCCTTATGCATATTGTGGAGGAAACCACACATGGCAAAATTATCAAAATATTCTCGAGAGTGAGTTATGTGCACCAACTCAATCTCATAAGTGGAATGTATGTGATATATGTGGTAGTCAAGATGGCCACTTTTATGGTTGTACTTATATTTCTGTCACGACCCGGATTTCCCACCCTCGGGAGTCGTGATGGCGCCTACTAATAGGAGCTAGGCAAGCCAATTAATTTAACACTTCTCTCAACATCATTAACATTATAAAGAAGAACGAGGCAATTAATATAAAAACGGAAGTCTCGAAACATAAATAACTGAAACCAAGTACGGAAATCCAAATACATTTCTACCCAGATCTGGTGTCACTAACTCACGAACTTCTACTGAATGCTAAAAACAAAGTCTGAATAAGAATACAGTACTGTCTGATCCGATACAAGGGAAATCAAACGAAAGACAGAGATAAGAGAGACTCCGGGCCATGCGGACGCCAGCAAGCTACCTCGGAAATCTCCGGACTGAAGTAAGCTCCCAACGCTCCTACTGCTGACCAAAGGCTCCTGCTCCGGTACTATGATCTGTGCAAAAAGCACAGAAGTGTAGCATCAGCACAACCGACCCCATGTGCTGGTAAGTGCCTGGCCTAACCCCGGCGAAGTAGTGACGAGGCTAGACAGGACCTACCAAAAACAACCTGTGCAGATATATATATACAAAGGCAACAGAAATAACAACAGAGAATATCAACTAAAAAGGGGAAGGGGGCATGCTCGGGGAAAATACAGCGAATACAGATCAACGGATATAACGACGAAACTATCTCAATACCATAGCTCATATATAAGTGGTCGGCGCGCCACACGATCCCATTTCTTAATTCATAAGTGGACGGCGTGCCACACGATCCCATTTCATAATATATAAGTGGTCGGCGTGCCACACGATCCCATATTATAGTATATAAGTGGACGGCGTGCCACACGATCCCATATCATAGTATATAAGTGGACGGCGTGCCACACGATCCCATATTATAGTTCAAAATATCTGACTTTGTAAAGAAGGCCCCATTAGGGGAATTCGACAACATAACACTTTAACCCGGCAAGGGTACAGCTAACAGCCCAAATATCCCGGCAAGGGAGAGTACATAATAATAGTCTACACGTCCCGGCAAGGGAATAATCACAACACATCCTCTTTTAAATCACTTCTTTCTCAACTATCACATTCTTGTTCGAGCCAACGCTCCAAAATATACCAATCACAATTCTTCCTCAACCGTTCACATTATATGAAATTTATCAATTAAACAAGGAAGTTGTGTCACATCATTCGAATTAAAAGCAATTAAGACTCACGGTCATGCTAGACTCCGGTGCATAGACAACCGTCACCATGCCTATACACCGTACTCCACATTTAGCAAGTAGCAAATAACATCCTAATCCTATTCCCTCAAGCCAAAGTTAGAACAAACACTTACCTCGGTCCAAGAATAGCAATCAACTCTCTAATACCGCCTTTCCTCTACAATCCAACTCCGAAACAATGATATCTAGGCATAATTAGTTCAATAATATCAATAAGGGCTCAAAAACATAATCCCATAGCCTAGAAATGAAATTCCTATCATTCTTCCAAAAACACCAAAATTCGACACCGGTCCCACATGGTCCAAACACGAGGCTCGGACCAAAACCCAATCACCCATAACCCCACGAGTTCAAATATATAATTTATTTCAAGATTCGACCCCAAATTGAGGTTGAATCACCCAAAATCCCCAAAGCCCTAACTCTACCCAAAACCCCCATTTTCTACTTTGATTTCAAGATTTAGGGCTAGGAATTTAGTAATTAATAGAGGAAATTGAAGAAAACAAGTTGAACAATGCTTACCCAAGAAGTTTTGATGAAAGGGAGCTTCAATGGACGCCTAAGTGCTTGGAGAAGAAAGGAGTTCGTGTATTTTTATGAAAATCCCGAGCTACTGTTCTGTTTTTAACTTAAAAATTCGCTGGGCAAAATTGCCCTTCGCGTTCGCGGGAGAGGGGCCGCGTTCGCGAAGGGTAAACTGGGTAGGCTATCGCGATCGCGTGGAGAGAGACGCGAACGCGTAGAAGGAAATTGCTGGGGTCCAGGAACTGTTCTATGCGAACGCGTGGGATTTCACGCGAACGCGATGAAGGAGT